ACGAGATTGAGAACCCGTGAGCTTTAATAGTTTGACATGTTTTTGAAAGTCAAAATCTGCGGCTTGAGAGTTGCAGGGCGTCAGCTCCATGATTGTCTCATCAAGATGAACTAACAGTGGCAGTAAAACAAGGAAAATGTGTTATGCCCATAATATATGATGTTTAGCACTAGCAGGACCCAGTCCAGTTACTTCGGTCAATATTTCAATCGAAGCAGAAGATTTGAACCAAGGAACACATGCAGAGGTTGTCTTTTGATATAATCTGTATGCTTGCAGCTCTGTGCTTGCTTCAACATCCGCTGCTCCAGGAGCACGGTAACATAAGCTAAGCACTAATATTGATCAAAGTTCCATCGAAAGTCCATCCATGTCCTAGCCTCTAAGAAAACACGACCCAGACCCACCACCACAAATGCTCGCCGAAATAGTTCTTGGATGGCTAGAGTACCGCCACAATCCCCATTAGGGAGCATAGGCTTTTCAAGCTCTTTTAGATTGTGATTTCCATCTAGCCACGAAACCGTGCAGTTGCGCGTCTGCATAGTAGTCTATGACAATGCCACACAAACAAACTCCAGCAGCAACAAAATACCAGATATTCAAAGGCTTATCAACCGAGTGCACCAAATACAGTGGAAGACAAATCTCAGTCAAGAATATCTGCAGAGTTCAATAACCATTTCATAATAGCTAAGTATCGAATTTGTTTCTTGCAAATTGCATCAAACACAACAAATCCAAGATATTTAAGCAACTTATTGAAACAAAATTTTCCAATTTTGATTTCAAAAAGAACTAAAATTGATAAAAGCAAAGATCTTTGAAGCACTGAAATTAGAGATTTACCTTTTAAGTTTCTGATTCACCCATGTTTGCTCAGAACACCGACTACTTGGTTCCCATAAAAATCTCATGCAAACTTGATCAATCATCCTAATAACACTAAAATCCTGATTATATATTTATAAATTATAGAATAACATGTTTATGTAACTATTACAGATATATTTATTTAATTTAAACGAACAAATATAAATACACATGATTTCAAAATTTAGATTTTTCCGAACAACGGTCGATCACATAAAAATAAATAAATAAATATACAGATTTGTCCATAAAGAAAACCCCGCTTGGAATTGAAGTGAAAAAAGAAGCTTTAACAGCAGAACCCTTAATATGGAAAGGAATTTGGAACAAGAAGTGGGCTTAATGTAGAGTTCATGTGGGCGTTCTAGCTCATACTTTCAAGAAAAGCCCAATCCAAAAAACTGGTAGCTCATACAAATATCGGGTCGGCTCATTTAGATTTCCGTCATCACCTCAGCTTTGGTCTTCAATTACCGAGCAGGGTGAATCCGAAAACCCAAAATCTCTGCATTTTACCCGCCGTCCCTGAGAAAGCAAAAAAAAAAAAAAAAAGACAAGCGATGTCGGCTAGATTGCTGAAGAAAGTCTTGAAAGAACAAGAACAAAAGAAACAACCCGTAATCGAGGAAGATGAGCAGGAGCTTCAGGAATCGGAGTCGCCAGATGCCGGCGCTGGTTCTTCAAAGAACCCTTTCGATCTCCTGAACGAAGGTGATGACGCCGACGAAGATAACTCTGATCAGGTTTAGCTCCTAAACCCACCCTTTATGAAGTATTGTTGTTTATTACGATTAAATCATTCATCGCGTTTAGCCAGGACTATCTGTGTAATTATTGTAAGGTTTATAAGTGTGTGTGTAAGTCCTTGTGCCCTGGAATATTTCATGGTCCAAGCTGATTGTTTTTGGCTTTGATGTTGTTTAAAATGTTTTAGAGAAAGGGTTATTGTTTGTTAAAATTTTAACGGGAAACCTTGATTTATCATGTGCTGGTTCCATTGTAATGATCAAGTGATGTCCTCTAAAGAGTGTAATATTGGCATTGGATGACTTTTGAATGCTTATGATTGATTCCAGCTGCAGGTATCTGCACCAGAAGTTGCCAATGAAACCTTGACCAAAAAACAAGAACCACCTTCGTTGAAAAATACTGCCAATTCAGCTTCCACATCGTCTAACAAATCAAAGAAAAAGAAGAAAAAGAAAGGCAAAGAGAGTTCTTTAAGTACAGATAAAAACGAAACACCTTTGGATGTGAATTTAGATGATTTATCTTTGGATTTTGAATCTTCTAGTCATCAGTCAGGTCGTAATAGACCCTTATCAGAAAATGTTAAGCATACTAAACCGTCTATATTACTTGTGGATCCTAAGTATTTGAACGTTGAGAATGAGCTGAGGAGAATATTTGGTTCTAAGGTGATTAAGTCTTTTGAGAAAAGCAATCAAAGTAGCAGTTCCAGACAGGTACGTGGTGGAAGACGGGGAAACCATCATATTAGGAAGACTGTTTTGATATCTCCATCTGACCATTGGCCTCGGTGGGATGGATCTCTGTCAATGGAATTTCTGGAAACTAAGGACGGGTATAATTACTTCAGGTAAAGACCTTTCAAAGTCTCTGGTTTTGCTATATCTTGCCTAACTGCTGATTACCTTACTGAGTGCATCTGTTTTTGTTTTTCTTCTCCTACTTTCAGTTTGTTACCAACTTGATAAATATTGATAGATAGCTATTCACGTATAGTATTTTATTTTTCTCACTTTTGCAATATTTACAGGAGTGTATATTTACAAAGAATTAAAACTAGGCGGTGCATTGGTGAATGTTTTCACATTAAGTGAAGTTTAATATCAAGTGTATTTGCTCACTCATAACTCTTTTCTTTTTTTTCTTTTTTTTTTGAAAATTGCTCACTTATAACTTAGTTAATGTTATGGTGATTGTTGCCTGTTGTATTTAGCTAAAATTGATTGTCAACTGTGTCTATTGGTTGTACTGTGTCTTAAATGATTTCTTCGTGTTTTGTAGATATACCCACTCCTCATCCTATGATCAAGCTCAGAGAGCGTTTGAAGCTGCTCAAGCTATTCATGACCTGAATGGCGTGGCAAGTGTTCTGATGTATCATCCTTATCATTTAGATTCGCTTATAACCATGGCAGATTATTTTAGATTTGTGGTGAGCATCAGATGTCTGGTGATGCTATTGCAAAGTGTTTGTATGCCTTGGAATGTGCTTGGCATCCTATGTTCACTCCCTTGCAGGGCAATTGCCAATTGAAGTTCAGTCATGACTCAAACAAGCCATTATTCAAAGCACTTTTCACTCACATGAAAAACATGGATAGACGAGGCTGTCATCGATCTGCTCTAGAAGTTTGTAAATTGTTGCTTGCACTTGATTCGGATGACCCAATGGGAGCTATGTTCTGCCTTGACTACTTTGCAGTGAGGGCAGGGAGTATGTTTGGTTGGAGTGGTTCTCTGAAGACTACAGAACTGATACGTCATTGTGGCTGTTGCCAAATTTTTCATACTCCCTTGCTGTTTGCCGGTTTTATCTTGAGCAAGAGGAATCCTCTGATAATACTTGTGTTGACACCGCAAAGGCTTCTTCGACTGATCTTATGAATCAGGCATTGATGCTCCATCCCACGGTCCTTAAGAAACTAGTAACCAAGGTTCCTTTAAAAGATCAGGCATGGACAAATATACTCAAAAATCCCTTTTTCAATTCAGATCAAATAGGGATCCCATCTGTGGATCACCTGATTAATATTTACGTAGAAAGAAATTATCTCATATGGAGGCTTCCTGATCTGCAAAAGTTACTTCGAAATGGTGCTTCCCTTGTAATTCAAACGCTGGAGCACAGGAAAAACGATGCTAAAGATTGGGCCTGCGTGAGAAAAGAAGCATTCCCATCTGAAAAAATGAGTAAGTATCTGGATTGGAATCTGTTGTTGCTTTGTTTCTTTCTTTTACTAGATTTCCTTGTCGCTGATATTTTACTGCAAGTTTCATGTTTGTTACATACTTAAGGCGTGCAATATTTGTGTTGGGGCGGAATATATAGATAAATCTGGTTGTAAATGAGTGGAATTTGCTGGCTTAACTAGATTGGTTGAGCTTTTTGTATATGTGGGAGTTCATTTGACAGTCCTTTTAACCCTGTGTCAGGTATGGTCATTTGTTGGTCCAGGACTTCTCCGACACAGTGCAAACTCTTCCTCCTGATAATCTGCACAACTTTATGGTTGACATGAGAGATGGTGCTCATATCGGGGGTCAGGTTGGCAATCCCCCCGCCGGTGTTCATGTTCCAGAACTACGTGATGTTGCTAATCGCAATCCATTGGCTGTCTTGTTTGAGTCACTGCTACCGTGGGTTAATTATGGAGGTCCAGAAGATGGCGTAGTTGATGAAAACCAAGTTAATGAGCAAGGTCAAGGCAATGAAGATCAGTGAGCTGTAATGTATCAAAAAGATTGCTGAGAACTTTCAGGCAAAATAATCCAGTTTTCAGTAATGTCTATGTCACATACAAGTTAAATTCTTTTATTAGTCCTTGTATTAATAGTAAGTCGTGGATTTAGTCTGTGTACTTCAATTTGGTCATTTTAGTTTTTATACTTCTCAAATTTTAAAGTTCTAATCTTAATTCAAAACGAAATTCTTAATCTATTAAGACAAATTTTGTTATTATTACATTTTTATGCGTTAGTTGAAGGTTTAATTCATATTTAGTCATAATGCGCTTGAGCCATTTGGTTCAGAACTAAAATGGATTGAATTAGTATTATGATTCAAAAATTGTAACAATATAATAAATTTAATAATTATTTTATAACACTAAAAAAAATCATTTTAACATAATTTACAAACCACTTTCGTATTTTACCCTTTGAATTTGTTACTTTTGGAAGGTTTTCATTATTTATAAAGGAACTAATATTTCATGCTGATGAGGCTTTGACTTATTGCCTAAGTAGTAGCCTTGAGAACTCTGAGATTTAAAGTTTCAAATCTCATAATGTGTGCATTTGATCCATATATATTCTAACGAGTTGTTCATATAAATTCTGGTTTGAGAGATGTAATGATCTACTTTAATGTACTCTGATTATAATTTCTCATCATCTGGTTACAGGGAAATGTATACAAATGTTAACCAAGCAAACTCTCCCAACGATATTTAAGAGCCTCATATGCCTTGGGGCAAGGAATAGCCTGAAGCTTGAGTCTTCCATCTACAATTGTTTCTGTAACTAAGCCCAACCTTACCAATGTACTCACCGCCTTGTTGACTGGCATTTCAACCTGCAGAAGTCATTTCGACCCGATGAGAACATAAACTATATTGCCAACATTGGCAGATATTTTTAAAATCCTGTTACCTTCTGTTTAAAGATGTCATATATGAATCTCTCACATCTGTCTCCAACTTGTTGGTAACAATTCGCCTGCAACTAGGATTGTTGTTAGTGATCTATGTAATGCATTGAGAACGAATAGACTTCCCTTCGATTTCATTCAAGAGACATGTTACTTGAACTCGAATACGAGTGTTGGACCCTGAGTATATTCGATTTTTTCTTTAATTTTTTTCTTCATGTATTTAGAGAGTTCTTGGAAGGTCACAGCTTGATACCCACATCCTAATCATGTCGAACATGAATACTTTGAGAAAAATAGGCAAACATTCCAAAAACCACAATTTGCAGGTAACCGAATCTCAAAGCATAATTTATGATCAACAGAACTAAGGCTAGGGGATGGTATGAGAACTGGACAAAATTAAGTTAGCTAAAGTGTAAGAGTTCATTTAACCATAGATTAAGAACTAATGATTACTATGTCTGTGCTAGGACAACAATGAGGCATCTTTATCGGAGACATTTTAGCCATCAGAAATAGGATGTAAGGTACAAACCTGGCCATTCTCCGTGTTAAGCAGGATAGCATAGGTTAAAATGGCTTCCTTGTACTGCAGATAGTGGAGGCAGACGAGAAAAGAGACAAAAAACAAGAAAGAGCAAAATTATGTGATATTAAACATAACAGATGGATTGAACAAAAATATTAATTTTGTTAAGGAATTTATAACTCCTTCAGAATAAGTTTTCAAAGTGTTGTCTGTCGATAGCTGGCGGACCTCTCAACACATCCTACTATTGTATTCTTGAGATGTCTATGCTTCATTTTAGCCTCGAGATTTTGCTTCCACCCAGCCAAGAGCCCAATGGGTCTTCCGGGAGATATCTAGGAAATGGGAGCACTTGCACCCAGGAAACTTATGAGTTGCACTTGATAGGATTTGAACCCATGTCCTATGGATATAAGACATGCTTTAAGAAGAGACTGAATGGGCACTCGAAGGAGTAGGAGGCAAAATCTGGAAGCTAAAACAAGGCACAAATATCTTGGGAAAATAATGCATACCAAACATGTTGAGAGGGCATCGACTTCCAGCAGGTGACACTTTGAAGACTTCTTCCGAAGGAGTCAGAAATCCTCAACTAATTCCAACAAAAGGGATGGAACTCCTATATTATTCTTTGTTCAATGGAAGAATCATGAATACTATGTTTAAACTCTAAAGTCTAAATTCGGGGGAGGGGAAGGGCGTAAAAAACAAGAAATTATGTACTTATTATTATCCTTTTGCAAAAATAAATAAGCAGATCTTCTCACCTGCTGCTGTTCGGAAGCATCCAAAAGAAAATGAACTGAGCCAAAGCCACTTGCCAAGGTTTTCTCATAAAGGGTCTTGTTAACCAATAACTGTGGAAAGTGATTCCTTTAAGAAGTTGTTTGAAACTTAAAAACGGGTATAATTTCCCAAAGTAATTTTTCCCAGTACTGCATAGAAATTTTTTTATAACTTACCTGATACCTATCCCACGTCTGTTTATAACCCAAGGCCACACGTGACACATATATTATTAGAGCAATGATTGCAACAGCGTCAAGAAATATTGCTGATCTGTAACAAAAAGAAAAGTGAACTAACATTTCAAATGGAACTAATTTTTTATAAATAAAAAAACACATTAAAATAAGGGGCATACGGGGAAGCTAAAATGTCCTCGAATTTGTAGTTTATCAAGAATGCTGAAAGCCCCAATATTGTGGCTATATCTAATCGTACCTACAAGTCAAATTCCTCAATGTCAGTCCATAGGTTATGCAAATTAATCTTGTAGTTGAATACAAGTTGGCTTAACTAGGTAACCACGAGCTATGTCCAGTCATTCCAATCCACCTTCATGCCTTAGTAATTCGAGGATATATTTTTTTTCAAAGTATGCTATAAATGTTAAAAATACTGTAATATAAGGATATATTTATAGTGATAAACTCTTTGTAGCTTAATGACGCATCCAGAACTATATATTATACATATCAATCGAAGTCTTGTGAGTCCAGGAGCCAATAAATTTTACCAGTCAACAGCTTGGTCCATGGGGAATTCAATAGACTAAAGAAATGATGTCTGTGGAACAAATAGAGTATATTTCTGGTAAATCATTGCAAAGTGTGCGTTTCATTGATTGAATCAGTTAGACACATCAATAAAATACCATGAGAGTAAGCTACGATTAACAAGGACTGCAAATTTTTAATACTTTTAAATAAGGTTTTTATATGTTGAACAAACGTATCTTCCGGTGAATGTTAGAATTAGTTGATATTAAGCATCCAACTCAATACCAATGGGAAATAGGTGGAGAGGCCCCTTAGAATAGAAGACCACAGGAGGGAACCTTAAATAGATTGACGCTTGTGCACTTTTTTAATGAAACCTAAGAGTAACTTAATAAATGATGATATTACATCACTTAACAATCCATGCTGAGAAAAATATAAGAACACTCCCCTGACATGTAGCTCAACAAGGGCCAATATGAGGTTAACATCGCACAAGGTTGGTAAGAAGAACCAAGCACACCTGTGCTCTAATTACATGTTAATAATCCAACCTAAAGCCAATTGAGAATATGTGAAGAGACCGAACTTGAATATAAGACCGTAATAGATGTGAGATAACACAATTTAACATTTGTTGTCCATATTACTTCAGTTGATTATGTTTAGGGGATGTCAATGATGAGCAGAGATGCTAAAATCCAAAAAAAAAACATGGATATAATTAACTTAATCATACCGTGTCTATAATACGAAAAGACAGTTTTTTGTGAGGAAAAACAACCTGCAAATAATTAGACAACAAAATGAAAATTCAAAAGCCTGTAAATGAAGCATCATGACAACATTAACAAAAAAAACATACGATGTGTAAGAGAATTGACAAACATTGAGATGTTAGGAATATTTACTGGTAAATCCGGAATAGGAATTCTCTCATAGATCTTTAACTGTAGTACTTGAGCCTCAAAGTTATCTTCAATATCTCCGTCAGCAAAATCCTTTGTATAAAGCAAAATCAGCTCTCCAAATGCTGGCTCCTGACAAGAAAAGGCATCAAAGTTTTACAAGCAACATTAATTATGAAACTTCTAGAAACAAAATATCAGCCACCATCATTTTTACAATTAAATGATCCATGCATACAACTCGGAAAATAGTTAAATCAAAGAATGAAATTTTAACATCCATTCACAATGTATCAATTACTGTATAACATAAGCAAAGGAAAATGATTAACCGTTCAAAATGGAAACAATACCTGGAGGATTGATTGTGAAAGGAGAATGGAAACAGAAGTTTTCAACATTTTCCAAACATCATTACCACAATATTTCCTTGTGGCCGGTCTCCAAATATCACTGAGGGAGATCCTCGATAAAAATGTTGGCCTGAATGAAAATTTGCTTTCATTACTAAGTAAGAAAGCTGTCTTAGATATAACCTTCATAAATCACATCAAGTCATTGTACAAAGCACGTTAAAAGATGAAGTCATGTCGGATCAATTCGATTCATAGCTTTGTTTTTTACCTTCTTTTCAATCTGTGGTTTATTTATCAGCACATTTCGATGACACTTTAGGTTTCTCGTGAATATTTAGTATTTTTACCTTTTAGAAAAAATAAGTATTTGTTAAAGGAACAACCAATAACCTAAACAATGAAAGTACCCGAAAAAAAGGTAAGACCAAATTATCTCAACCCTTCCTATCATATCCTGTCCATGAACGGCAAACATGAAGCATTAGATGCACAATATTGAAGAAAAACTTCTCACATGTAAAGAGCACAAAAAGTTTGGCATAACATACCTCAAATAAGGTTCAGAAAAACTACCATCACTGTCAAGCTGAAATGGTGTTTCTGGTGTAGGAGCTATAAACCCAACTCTTGCAAGCAACTTCCTTAAAAGCCTGCCACGGGGTCCAGTGGCTGACAGAAATCCTTCATAGCGACTAACTGCTCTCTGTGCTGCCAACCAGATTGGAAGATCGCGATCTGATAGTTGGTCAACCCCTAGGGGGTTTTCAGAATTTTTTTCATCATTAAGATATGACTGTTGAAAGAGAGACATCTCCTCAAGCCAAAGCTTCAATCTCCTAACCCAGTCTCCTGCTTCGTCTTTCTGATCAGAATCTTTGAAAGCCTGTCCTAGAGTAATAAAAATGAAGATTGTCAAACTGAATAATATATTACTCAATTCAGGAGTTAAAAAACTAAAAGATAAAAACATAGACACCTTGAAGGGTCACTTAAAGGGTATCAGTACAATCTATACCATTCAGAGACCTCGTTACCGTGCATTAGCTTTTTAATTTTGGAAAGTCATCTAGGAAAGGGGAATTACCTCATTGAGGTTATAAGTAATCCATTTGCCAACTTTCCCCAATGGTTTTGATATAAAGGAGAAAATTCCTCGCAGGAGTCTGGATTGCAAATAATCCAGCTTTTCAACAATCATTAGACCCTTCTGCCTCTCAGTTGCATATCCCCGCCTGTAAGAAAGAAGTCATTCCGAATCCAACAACTTCACTAGTGAAAGCTTGTAGAAAGTACATGCAAATACACACACTAACTACCGGAATATTATCGCATTGGATTCGGATGCTTTCTTCCAGTCCACATATATCGGCAAAGTAAGGAGATAGTCGGTGTTCAAGGCATTTGTCAACATCAAATCCCTAACTGATAGTTCTTCAAACTGAGCGTCATTAAGAAGTTGCATAAAAGATCTTTGGAAACGAGTAGCCACTGCAACTCTACAAATGTTTTTTGCATTAAAGTATTAATTTAACTAAAAGATTGACTAAAAAGCAATTAGTAATAAACTCATAATTCTGTGGTCGAATTTATGACACTTGCCTGGGCTGATTCTCGGAAATTCTCCTGACATTTTTAGCTGAAGAATTTAGAAAATTCCTCAAGTCCAGACCGTAATTGAACAACGTATCAGATTCGATGCTATCCCCGGTGAAATTCGAGCTTTCACCGTTAGCTACAACTTCCGATTCTGAAACGGACACTTGCTCGCTATTACTCTCTATGGAATGAAGATAGTAATAATCAGATCGCATTTGCTCCAAAATGTCTTTGTGTTCGGCATGAAGGATAGAATCCAAACATCTGCAATTATTTACACCGTAAAGAGAAATACCAAAGCTGAACGAAGTAACAACAAATCGTTCCGGGGGGCGAGGGGGAACTTACGATGCGAGGAGGCGAAATTGACGAGCATCCTCTTCTCGAGAATCGAATAGTCTCGAAACAACAGCATCCAAGAGCTCCGCCTTGGAAACCGGTATGTATTTCTGTCTAGACACTTGAATTCTATAAATTCCCGGCTTTTCTTCTTCGTCGTCGTCGTCGTTTTCATTTTTTAACCTCGGAACAACATCGTCGGTATCGCTGAGAATTGAATTAGCGTTTTTTCTGGATTCTAACGGCTCAGTTGATATGGCCCGGAATCCCAGAGGCACACCGGGAACCTTGAGAGTGGCTACGGTCCGTAATAAACGGTAAGAATCGAGTGAACGAGCACCAGATAAACGACGCCGTTTTAAGGTCGATGATAGAGCGGTGACGCTGGTTTGAGTTTGCCAAGATGACATCAGAGCAGGGAGAAAATTTTTGAAGGCTCTCGCGGGCTTTTCAGTTGTAGTTTATTTTATTATAATTAAGTTGGGTAATAGCCAATATGGGCAGTGGTGGTCGGGAACGAGGAGGGAGGAAAGTTATTGGGATAAGGAAACCGAGGGCCGATAAGAGCTCGGCCGGTTGGCCCAGTATTTTTGAATTTATCGCTTTTATTTTCTTGGCTGTGAATAATTGAAATTTTGATGGTTGGATTTTGCAATCTTAACATGATGCGACGTACTCTAATAAGATAGTTTGATCCTAAGGTGTAATTCTGTTGGTTGTGGGCGGTTTTACTCCACAAGAGGTTTAGGTTCAAACAGAAACCATTGTACGAGCGTCTGTAATATGAATAAAATATATAGATATAATTTAAAAATAAACGTGTACTAACCAAGTTATCTTAGAGGTTAAAATGATAATTTTTAATATTAAAAGTTTTAGGTTGAGTATTAAAGACTATAAAAACACATGAGTTTTGATAGTTTTTAATCTTAAAAGTTTTAGGTTGAGTATTAAAGACTATAAAAACATATGAGTTTTGGTTTTCAAATGGTTGAAAACTTTTAAAATAAATATTACTTTAGATTAATCAAAAGATTTAAAAATAAATGTATAAATTTATGGTAAAATACACAAGTGGTCCACCGACTACATAGAGTTGTGTTGTTGACTATATGACTATCAAAAAATTATAAAATGATCTTTCGATTATATGATGCTTAATTAAATCTACTACTATTAAAAATTATAAAATAATTATCTAACTGTTCATATATTTCAAAATCATTTATTTTCGTTAATTAGCCATCAAGGTACTTGTATAATTTTTTAAAGTGAAATTACTAAAATAACTCTATAAATATATAGTATTCTATATATATTTTAATTTTTTATAATAGCTAGTATCTTATCTATTAATCAAATAATTTGATTCTTTAAAAAAAATATTTTGTTATTAAATATTTCCTCTTAGTTAAGAGATAAGTATGTTATTAATAGGGATGGGCTTGGGACTCGAACCCGACGGGTTTCGACCCGAAACGAACCCGATCGGGTCTGGGTTTTTTTAAAAAAAATTGGTTCGGGTCAGGTCGAGTTTTTTAAATATGATGTTTGGGTAGGGTGATGTCGGATTAGGGTTTAGGGTGAAAAATAGTTAACCTGACCCGTCTTGAAAAAATATAATTTTACCTTATATATTTAGAAATAATTACAATAATATCTCTCTATATATTATTTTTCAATTAAATCAATATTTTTATCAAATAAAAATAATATATTTTATTATTTCGGGTCAAGTCGAATTCTAATTAAGTTTCAATTTTATATCAAAAAATTCAGTTGGGTGAAGAGTATATATTTTTCGGCCGGTCGAGTGGAGGGTGGTTGAGGTCGTGTTGCCCAAACTATACCCAAACCTGATCCATGTAGTTATTAGTCGGATTCAAATAGATATTAAAATGAGGTTAGGGTTTTTCGAACACTACATCTACACGAAAAAAGACAAAATTCGCGCGAATTCCTAGATCCAAATTTGAAAACCGATGATTTCTTTGCTAACTGCTAAGCATTCTCCTCAGATTTCCAATTCGAATTCGTTCTCCCTTTCTCTGCGGCAAGCATTCTCTTCATGATTGATTCGATAGGTTTTGTAATTCAGCAAACCTTTTTCTTTTTTCTTTTTTTGCGATCAGTTATGATTACTTTTCTCTTTGGTTTCCATGATGAAGATGCGGTTCTAAGGATACGATAGAAAGTAATGAAGCTTCAAAGAAACGCATGAAATCAAATGTAAAACCTCCTTGATTTCTCTTTTTATTTTTCAATCGATTGATATCTGATTGTGTTGTAAACCATTAGGCGGAAGAGAAAGAAGAAGAGCTGATGATTAATTTATTTTTCTCTTAAATTACATGACTCGATCCCAAAGAAATAGATCATTTTTAATTGCTAACAGTGTCATTATTACATCAATCCCATAGAATCAGGATCTGAGGATTTTCTCCTCAAATTAGAAACGCCTCTGTTTAACTCTTCTTAGGGGCAAGCCTGCTCTTGATCTTAATGACTTCCTTGGTACCAACTTGGAATGCCTTGGTCAACACATTATCAGGAACTGCCGGTGTTGAAGCAAACAAGGTAGCAGCAATAGACTGAGTTCCAGGAAACTGGCTATTAAATCCGGCAATGACCGACGCCGGCTCGTGACCGTTGTTCTTCTGGAAATGAACCAGACCCTTGGGGAACACAAAAACGTCGCCCTTTTTAATAGATTGGAGTACAACTTGTTGGCTGTAGTAATGAACCCTACATCCAATTCACCCTCGAGAACAAAGATGATCTCGGTTGCACGCGGGTGAGTGTGGGGTGGGTTAAGTCCACCGGGTAGATAGTCGATGCGAGAAAGCGACACCCCAAGGGTATTCAGCCCTGGGATTTGCACAACATTGGCGGCGGTCACCACAGATCCCACCGTATTGTTGATGACTGCAGGTTTAGCTAGACCGCTAAAGAAAAAATCGGCTTCGGTTACCACTGCATCGTTCTTGCATGCAAATCCGTTCACCTTGACTCCTACAAGTAAATATGCATACATATTAGGGAATTATTTGATTAAGATCCAAGTTGTTGACTTTTTTCAGACATTTAGTTACCTGCAGTTGCCTCAGCTACGCAGATATCTTGGAGAAGATCAGGATCAGATTTAGCGACGCTGAAGAGGGCAACAAAGACGATGAAATATGCAAAGAACTTGGCAGCCATAGAGATTTAACAATGAAGAGAAGCTAAAAGGTATAATTATAGGTTTCAGAGAGAGAGAAAAAAGGGTATTGTTTTGATTTTTAGATGAGAAAGCGGGGCTGTTCTGCTTACTGTATATATATGAAGAAAATGTATGGATTGGGTGGAACTATTAGGACAGCAAAGCAATTTATTTAGCTACAGATATTTGTTTTATAAATAAAGGCAAATTCTATCATTAATTTTTAAAGAGAATTTATATTATCTCTTCTTTTTTTCTGGGATCTTTTCTTGAATTCAACTATGAACGAATAATAATGAGGGCATGAAGAGCCTTAGCCCTAAGATTTTCAAAAAATGCTTTAAGTTTAAAAAAAAACTAAAGTTTTAATTCGATTCTTTCAAAATTTTAAATATTTTAATTTGATCCATCAATTATTAAAATTCTCATTTAATCTCTTTAAATTTTTGAAAAATTTGATCAACCTTCAAAATTTAGTATCAAAATCCACTATTATTTAAATCTTCAGCAGAATACATGAATTAATAATGAAATTCGACTTGATATATTTAATGGATACTATTTAGATAATGACTAAAATTTAGAAATTATCAAATGATTTACACCCATAATTTATAAAATGGTACAGAGAACAATAGCATAACTTGGGTGGGGGGGAACTCCAGCAACCATTTTTGACCCTATTTAAGAATCTATTAGCGATCTGGACTTTTCACGTGGACAATATGTAACTAAGCAGAAACCTTTAGATATTGTAAGGCAATATTCATGAGCTGCTAGAAGAGTATTGGACTTGGGAAAGGAAAGTGCATCCTCAACGACCATATGTGTTGATAATTTAAAGAGAGAATATGGTAATCAAAAGATTAATATTTTAAACACTCAATTCTTTAATTTTTTTTTAAATACTGGAATTTGATTTTCTTTAATAAGTGCATTAGTTAATTGAAATTGACCCCTCCCAACCGGCGCATATATTGCTAATGATGCAGAGCATAAAGCTTTTTCTTTTTTCCTCTTGGTCAAATGCCCAGGGGAGCCCCTGGGACAAGGGACAGATTAATTAAGCTTTAACGACAAATAGGCGTTACATTAAAGGTTTAGTTAAGCTTTAAACAGGGTTTACTTTAGAATTATAAATAAATAAATTGAAATGAATTGGTTTACCAACTGGTGCTGACGTTGCACCGGTTGTTGAATGGTCCTATCTTGTAGTAGCTCACATTCTAAAAGATCATTAACGGTTGGTTAATGCAAAGTTTCATTATAGTTGCCGTCATTGAAATGCTTTGGATAAAGTAATTAGCTCCATCGTCTTGTCTTTAATGAGAAGTGAAGCGATACATGCTCTCTCTTCTACGGAAATCTTCGGCCACCTCGAAAACTAATAGGGGAAACCGGCGTGGATTTGCTAATGGCAGTCCCGAGAATGCCAAGAATGTGATCCTTAGAAAACTAAAACTAATGTGTAGTTTCTCATCAGGAAAAAAAACCCCTGCACTTATCAAGCGCCCATTCTTCCAGCAACTGAACCATAAAAGCCCAAGTTTATGACTACCATAAAATTATGGTTTTAGTCCCTCTTCTATGTTGCAATTTGAGTTTTATCCATCTACATCAACTTTGGCATGACTTGGTACAAATTACAGGGAATAAACCCGAATTTTAGCATGGTATAACGACTAAATTTAGCAAGTCGAATCCTAAAATCTACAATTTCTTCTCCGAATCCCATATAGCAGCTTTTTTTCCAAAAACAAAATCGTAAACTCTAAACACTAAATCCTAAGTACAACGTGCAAAGATTATACTAATAGCTAAATAAATTGTTTTGCTGTCCCTCTTCTATATACTCGGATCTGAGTATCAGATAATTTCCAAATATATATGCGTTGGAACGAGAGACTTCCTTTAAAGCAGGAGGGAAATAGTGAGACCAGGATTGTCGATTATTTCTGAAATACATAAATGATTTTACCCCTTCCTTGAAAAAATATTATACTGTTGAGGCAATATGAAATTGTGACAAAAAAAGGAAAAAAAGAAGAATCATCCAGAATACCTTTCCCTCCAATGAAACCACCATAACCGAAACATCGTCATGATATTTACGCCGATCTCCATGAGGTATGTCGAGCAGTTCGTGAAAATCCATTCCTGCAAAAATCAATAAAATCCCATCACTAAAATGTGCAAAACATCCCTTCAAATTGAATCAATATTTTCACAGATTGCATTATAAATCAATATGTTTCCGACTGGGATGAACAACCCCAAGAAATATGACAAGGTTGCATATTTTGCAGTTTGTTTCACTAGAATATAACCCTAACTACACAAGATACAATAGGTCAGCATATTCGATAATCCTACCGTTCTTTTTGGCAGCACGGAATAGAAACTTTGCAACGAGGTATTGTGCAGGGTCACCTTCAGGAACATTTTCCACGAACCACGTGACATGGGCAACCACCTCCTCATTGCTGAAATACTTGTAGAGCCCATCAGATGATAGTACCAAGAATCGGTTACTTGAGGATAGCCGATGGTGAACAACAGAGGGGGTGCAGCTAAGATAAGGAGCATTTCCCACAATTAATTTGAAACATCTCCAGTAGAGCTTCTTTACAAGCTGGCTGCACCCAATAAGTGAAATGAACAAAGAACCAAATCATTTCAACAACAAATATATCATATAGGTCGTCATAAATATGACCACCAACAAGCTGAGAGCAAGAAGAAAAAGAATGACAAAGAAATTATCAGATCGTAATTAATTTACTCATAAGCAACACAGTTTCTATTAGTTTTTTCGGTTCTATCTCAAACGAAAGATAGCGTGAGACCCAAAAAAATTAAAGTTATAGATTCTAGCTCAACCAACCTTCTTCAGGAAACCAGCACCGAAAGCTCGAGTGACCCTTCACCCTATCATTTGAAATGGCTTTGTCATCATCGGGATACTCTGCCTTTATTCTTAAGATTCCTGCCATAGACGATCATGAACAGGTAATTAACATCTCAATTCACTTATCGACTTATCAATTAAAAGCTATAAAAAATTATGAGTTTTACTTGTAGTTTCTAGGACATTACAAATAATCTAATATTTGAAGCCGTAATCCGGGATAAATAACCAATTGACTGTTTATCTTAGTTATCCACGTTGACTACAGTCGTGGATGTAGGCCACTAAAGGAAGATAAGTCCACCATATGAGTAAAAGGCCCACCTTTTTATCATCTCGACAACTTACAATGCCTAGACAGCAGTGCTCTTTAACATGGTCTCTATCAGGTTAAAATAAAACTATAAAACAAGTGACAGAAAAAAAAGGTGTTGAAGTTGTCGAAACGATTTTTTTCCTTATAGGTGAGAAAGTGAGATTTTGAAAACCACATTAATTCTTAATTATCTCTTTCTAATTTAAAAAAACAAAATGTGATTTACAAGACCTCTCGTTTCGAAAAATTTTGGATTTCCTTTACGATTGAAAAATATAGTTCGAAGAGTCGCCACCAATCCTTGATTAGGGTGTGATTGGGCACCCAAAAAATGTTGTCATTTTAAATAAAAATTAATTAAAACAACAAATTGTGGTCTGCGTTACCAAAAAAATGAAGTCGGGAGTCGGTTACGTGTGGAGAAGGATTAGCACCCCCACAACGCCCTAAATCGGTACCTAATCGATTAATTAACGTATTTGCAATGAACTTTACAAATTCTAATTTAATTTAATTTTTGATCCTGTAAAACAACAAAAAAGTGAATTTTACAATATTCAAAAATACTCAAAATAATTAAATTAAAATTACCAAGTCGTTTTAGAAAGATAAAGAATGTTCGATTATTTACAAATATCGAGACTAGATCTTAAAGATATAACAACCTTTTCTCGATATATTTAAATAAACGAACATTTCTTTTTCTCTCGTTCCCAAATTTTAGGTGACGAATCAATTTTTTGTTTCACTTTCGGGATACACTTTTAATTTAAAATCATTAAAAACAGACTTCAAATCAGTTATGACAGCCCATTTAAAATAATTTTAAATTAAAAATATATTACCCTTAATCCAATTATGAATATGTCGAGTTATGCAAGTGAGGCTATCATACAAATTGTGCAAAAAATATGTCATGCCAAAAATTAATTAAACAAAATTAAAAATATCATACAACGTGATATACAAAAAAAATATATACGTATATTTTAATTAAAAATCAATGCATATTAACCTATTATGTACACATGTGACCTAAATATAAAAATAAAAAACATAACATGTCAAACTATAAATTTAAAAAGTGTATATATATATAAATGTAATGATTAAACTTAAATGTAAGTAAAATTAAATTTATAAATCAGAAATAAATCAGTGACCTAAACATAAAATATTAAATCAGCGACCCAAATATAAAATACGCATAAATTACAGGGTCTGGTATAAAATTTATCCAATTCGATTTAAACTAAAATGAAATGGAAAATAACATAAATGGCACCTAGATATTTAAAACAGCTAAAAAAATAAAAAAAAATAAAAAAAATTAAACAAATGAGACTGTTTTAGAAAAACACATAAATCTAGAGGGCCTAAAAATAATCTATCCCTAAAATTATGGTGACTAAAAGTTAATTTACCCAAAACATATTACTATATAACCTAAGTAAACTACTAAACTAACCTAACTTCAAGCAGAACCTAGCCGCTCAAGCTTTTTACTTTCCATTTCTCCTGGTAACGCAATGCGTTGCTTTCAACAACGCTCTCCATCTCTCGGCCAGGCTTTCTACATTCCTTCCGTTGAATCTAAAACCGAGCCTCCCATTCAACGCTAAATTCCACCCCTCCACGATGGCCTGGTGCTCGAACATTAAGGTAAGTTCTATTTTCCCTTTTATTTTATTCTGGTTTTGCTAAATTAAATCCCACATTTTCCTTGACAATGGAACCAACACATAGAATGAATGGAATCAACAAGACACCATTGGTGTTCGGGCAGTCTAGGTAAATCCTAATCTCTCTCAAATTTTAGTTTTAAACCACAATCACACATACATTAAATTAAAACACAAAAAAAATGAACTGGAAAATAAAGAAATTGAAGAATGATTCCTCGAAAAAACATACCTTTATTGCGTTATTTGTTTTTCAATTGTAAGATTACAGTAGTGTTTCCTTTGGCACTCCTTTTGCACTTATAAAATTATTGATAGCTATTATACTTTTTTTCGAAATACTTTCCTTCGTTTCGTGTTCTCCCTGTCTGTGTAATCTCCCCCTTTTTTGTTTGTGTCCCCTATCTAAAAAAAACTAACCCTTTCTTTAGTAGTTAACTGAAAATTAAAACCTCCATTTACAGTTTCTAGTGGTTAATTCATGATAACTATTTTTTGGTTTTCCAGGGCTTCACGTGGGCTGCTCTGCTAGGTAATTGGTTTGGGCCTCCAATTGCTCTGCTTCGGGTCTACTCTGTCCTAGCCCCGGACAAAAACGAGCATCTACAGCTGCCCCTCTTTGCTCATTATCGTGTAACGAGAATAGAGCAAAGATCAAAAGATGATCGAGTTTGTCCAGTCTTGAGAACTTCAAAAGATTAAAGCACTCCACTGTTACTTCAGGATAAATGAAACTTGAAAAATCTTCAAATGACGGGTCCGCTCCCTCTTGTTCTGGGATTAAGGAACTCGAACAATCTTCTAAAAATGGGTTCGCTCCCTATTGCTTCAGGGAGTAGAACTCGAATAATATTCTGCTTACGGGTTCGCTCCCTCTTGCTTCAGGGGGTAGAACTTGAATAATCTTCTACTTACAGGTTTGCTCCCTCTTGTTTCAGGGAGTAGAACTCGAACAATCTTCTGCCTACGGGTTCACTCCCTCTTGCTTCAGGGAGTAGAACTCGAACAATCTTCTGGTGTAATTCTGCTTCACTATTCTTCCATGAAGGCTCAACTTCGAAGGTTAATCCTGAAAATCAAACGTTTTCACCTATTAATGTATGCTTACAGATTTGAAAAACATTATACTCGAAAAATTTAAAATTTAAAAGAATCTTTGATAATTTATTTCTCTTGCGGGAGCTTGTCTCGCAACAGCTAGATATGAGAATCTTCTTAGACTCGGCTGCCATCTGAACCTCTATCTTCCTAGGACCTTGAATTGGTTAATGACTCCTCGTGCGCATTTCCTTTTAATCAATTGATTCACTTCTTTGTACTCGAGAACCTTCGCTTTCCTCCCACATCTGATGATCTGATGGTTTGCTCCAACACTATTCCGAGAAGGCTTAAAATGGCCCGGAGGACTTATCATCTCACTCGAAAGACTTACAAATGACCCGAAGGATTTAATCATCATGCTCGAAAGACTTACTGATGACCCGAAAGATTTCATCATCCTGCTCGAAAGACTTACTGATGAATTTGCTTCACTACTCTTCCGTGAAGGCTTACCAGTTACCCGAAGGATTTAATCATCATGCTCGAAAGACTTACTGATGGGTTTGCTTCACTACTCTTCGGTGAAGGCTTAAAAATTACCCGAAGGATTTAATTACCATGCTCGAAAGACTTACTGATGAATTTGCTTCACTACTCTTCCGTGAAGGCTTACCAGTTACCCGAAGGATTTAATCATCATGCTCGAAAGACTTACTGATGGCCCGAAGGACTTATAAATTGTGAAATTTTGAAAATCGCATTCTTTGTTTTTAAAAGTTTCATCTTCTCAAAACATCGTTTTTCATTTTTAAATTCATGTGAAAATATCCTACCCGAAGGTTTTACAGATGGCCCGAAGGACTTATCATCTTGCTTTAAAGGCTTACAGATGACCCGAAGGATTTAAACATCAAGCTCGAAAGACTTACTGATAGCCCGACGGACTTATAAATTATGAAATTTTGAAAATCGCATTCTTCGTTTTCAAAAATTTCATCTTCTTAAAACATAATTTTCATTTTCAAATTCATGTAAAAACATCTTACCCGAAGGTTTTATGGATGGCCCGAAGGACTTATCATCTTGCTCTAAAGGCTTACAGATGACCCGAAGGATTTAAGCATCATGCTTGAAAGACTTACTGATGGCCCGAATGACTTATAAATTGTGAAATTTTGAAAATCACATTCTTTGTTTTAAAAAATTTCATCTTCTCAAAACATCATTTTTTTCATTTTCAAATTCATGTGAAAACATCCTACCCGAAGGTTTTATGGATGGCCCGAAGGACTTATCATCTTGCTCTAAAGGCTTACAGATGACCCGAAGGATTTAAGCATCATGCTCGAAAGACTTACTGATGGCCCGAAGGACTTATAAATTGCTTACTGGGTAAGAAACATTTCTTATTTTCCCTCAAATTTCATATTTTAATGAGAAATCCTTCTCATTTCACTTTATAAAACGACTTAATGGTCGGGCCACGTGCCCCGCTTCAAAGTAACGTTTCCTCTCTGGATTGACCCATGCGTTTCTCAGGTTCTCTCTCTAAACACGATTCCCTGTATTTGATGTTTGACTTCTACCTTTCAATCGTCGGAATTTTAACATCCTACATCTTCTCCTTTTATTGGAAGATCTGTCAAAATCATGTGTTTATGCATGAAACACGAATGCAATTAAATGTATCAATGTAATGCATTTTCTTTTATGCAAATGATGTTCTCATGAATGCATAAATGTCAATTCCATCTTCATTTGACCTCAAAGTGAAAAAATTAGTCTTCTTCTACTTGATCATTCCTCTCCGGGGTTTGCTTTAGATATCCGTATAACAACTCATAATTTCCAAATTGTATTTCTGAAGAGCCATCTGATCTTATTCTACTTTCTTATTGTCTTCGTTTTCTATCTTCATCTCGGAGAAATTACTTTCTCTCTCAACTTCTTGTTATGATCAGAAATACCACTGTGTTGCCCCATTTCCATCCTTGGCTCAATTACGCTTTCTGAGTTGTTCTTTCTGGACTCTGCCATTGATTGATGCTCGGTTGGTTTGCTTTACAAGGTAAGCTCTACTCAAATTCACGGTCTGCCCCTGACACTTCAAGTTGTGAGACTCATTCTCAATATCTTCTTGGTCTGATTCTTGTCATCCCAACATGATCTGGATTTCTGGTCATGCCCCAAAGTGGGTACTCTTGGATCTCTTTGTGCCCAACATATCCTAACTTGAATGTTCTTAATCTGGTGTAACTAAACAACACTATTGTCAAATAGCTCGAGGGCTTCTCTTCATGTTTCCACAAACACTTAAGAAGTGATCAACTCTTTTAACAAAATATCTTGCATTTTTATACAAGCTAGGATAAGTGCCTCTTCCGAATAACGAGACCATCTTCTTCTTGGCGGGTTACTGACAACGTCCCAAGGAAATGTTATAAGTTTCATTCTTTAGTCGTTCTAATCTCTCAGACCACTTGCTTTTAATACTGTGAAATGCTTCACTATTCTGGCACCATTTATTATTTTTTTTACAACAGAGGCAGAATGAGCCTTTCCAGCTTCAAGGATCTTTCACACTTGAAACTGTCATGTTTGAAAATGTTTTTCCCATTTCTCTTATTATAGGGATCAAAAAATGAAAGAATTTCATAAAACATTGCCCCTTAATTCAGGCTCACAATCAAATCAAATCATAAACATGAGTTCAAATAATATCAAAAGAATCAATAACTATTTAATTTTTCTGAGTTATAACTCTTTGACAAGTGTCAAAATTGATGGGTTGGCTTCAGGTTGGCTTCCTATTTTTTAAGGTTTCGGCCAACAAACTTACATTTCTTTCTCGGTCCTTGTGAATATCACAACATGCCCCTTCTTCTGGTTTGGTATTTTAATCGGATACGGACAAAATGACGCAACTAGAATAATCAATTACTAGACTTTCTAGAACACTTCTATTTCAGTTCTCTGAAATCTCCCATTTGTTCAGGCTTCGTAGACTCCTCTAACAAAGGCAGTACATAAATATCGGTCTAAAAATGAAATTTCTGAGTGCTCGTGTGAAATTGACTATAACAGGTGTTACTTGACTCCCTTAGTCCATCTTTACCGAAACTACTTATTTATAAAATTGATTTAATTTGCCATTGCCTGGCTAGCTGAGATCAGCTTTATTGTAATTTGCCTTTATCGGGCTAGCTGAAGGGTTCATCTCATCACAAAGTCTTTGACTTGACAATCACAGTGGAGCATACACCGAATTGCCAAGTATCCGATCAAGGTCATGGTTTGAATATAATCTATTCATAAAGCCAGGGCTTTCGAGTTTCCTATATAACCAATTGCTTTAGAGGAATAGCTCAGCTTTATTGTATATATATAATCATTTTTATCAGGATAGCTGAATTCTATCCATAAAGCCGGGGCGTTTAACCAATTGCTCTAGAGGGACAGCTCAAGCTTTATTGTATACATATAATATTATAATTTGGGTATACGGATCCAATTTCTTAAGCTTGTCAAGAAGAACCTGTCATAGTCTAGGTGTTGTTGAAAGTCAGAAAATCTCGTCGTTAGAGTTCAATTTCCAAGCAACTGACCTAAACTAGATTCATCTACTCGACTCTTCCATCTGTAAAGATCATAATCATCCTTGAACATCATCAACAAAAGTGAAATCTAGTTGGTTTTGTAACATCATACACAAAAGATGCCCCATGTTATCCGTTCCTATGCATACCTGAATACCAAGCCTCCTGTTCATCTCCTTATGATAGAAGAAGGCTATATCGACCCCTGCAAGAAAAAGGGTATAGTGTTCGATTGTATCTTCTGGGGATAAGGTCAAGGTCCTTGTTTTATCAGGTTTCTACCTTGTCATCTTGTCAAAGATTTATAACTCTAATCATTTAAAGAGTTTTTAATTCAGATGATATTCAAAGAATTTCAAATTGCAAATTCGATTCAATGCTTACCATCCTTAAAGTAACATGAATTTATTTAAATATCATTACCAAAAACTGAGAAAGGATGAAAAACAAGTTCAAACATGATATTGCAAATAGAATAAAGCTTCATGATAGAATGAAATGATCTATTCCTATCTAGGAGGCCCCATTACCCATCTAATATCGTGGTAATTAACTCAAACGGATGTTACATATTATTCTTTGATGCCCCACTCAAGCTCGTTATCCACTGTTCCACCAATTCCTCTGTCAACGTCCCATTTTCCACAAGCATCTCTATTTCCTTTAACAGCGGCCTATAATTTCCCGTATAATGTCCCAATGCCCCCAAGTGAAAATCACAGACACTATCTTGATCATAGCTGTGAGTAGAAGGGTCTGGTTGCACTTTCATTGGCCTCGGTGTGAGGTATTGACCTTCAATCAAATGGGGATACAGATCTGAGATAGGAGTTTGGAACACTTTCAAAGCATTTTTCGATATTGAGACTTTCTTTGGACGTCTCGAGTAACTCGCTACCCATTTTCTTTTACGACTTTGAGAGCTCTGGACGTAACATTCATTCACCTCATCAGTTGGTTCCTTTTGATCGGTTGGGTTTTTAGAAGTGTCTTTCAAGTTTCCTTTGTTTATTGCATCCTCAATTAACTCTCCAGCCGTCATAAGATCCTTGAAGTTATTCGTCGACTTTCCTAACATTAACTCAAAGAAAGGAGCTGGAAGAGAATCGTGAAACATATATGATATTTCTTCTTCTAACAAAGGAGGTTGAACTTGTGCTGCCACTCATCTCCATCTTAGGGCATATTCTTTAAAGCTCTCAGTAGCTTTCATTCTTATCCTTTGAAGGTCATGACGTTTTGGGGCTAAGCCTTTAACATATTGATATTGTCCCAGAAAAGCATCAGCTAGGTTGACCCATGTCTTGATCTGTTCTTTGTTCAAACAGTTATACCATACTATAGCTGGCCCAACAAGACTATCATGGAAGTAATGAATCAACATATTGTCATTATTTAGGTACCCTTCCATCTTTCTACAAAACATATTCAGATGAATTATGGGACAACTAGTGCCATCATATTTCTCAAAATTAGGCACCCTAAATTTATGTGAGATGACCAAATCAGGGACCAAACTAAGTTCTCTAGCTTCTAACTCCTTGTGAGGGGCATTAACAATCTTCATATCTTCAATGGCTTCATTCAACCACCTGAATTTGTCTTCAAATTGCTCAAAATTGACGAGGCTCATCCCTAGGTCTGAGTTAGATGCTCCAGGGCAAATTATTACTCTTGATGTACCAGTCTGATGCGATTGATTTCCTTTATCCTCTATTTTCTCTTTACTAGCAGCCTGTGGTACCAGTACCTGTATCATTTGATTCGATACGCCTTGCAAAGAACCCGATGCTTGATTCCCCGTATCTTGTTGTGACCCGACTAACTGCTCTTGCAACTGATCTTGTAATCCCTTATGAGATTGTTCCATTGTTTCTATTTGCTTATTCATGACGATGAGGAAGTAGTATGAATGGATGATCTTGTTATAACTGTCACATAACCTTCCATAAATTATTTCTGTGTTTTTATAATTAATGCATGTAAAATGCTTAAATAAATACATGTAATGCAAATGCAAATGCCAAATGAAAATACAAAAGGTGTCATTCCAGAGTGACCATCTTAAAATAACTTTCATTGAACATAAAGGTCTCGGTACATCAAACAAACTTTACATATAATGGACAGCTTTCACTCCGAACTTTTCTATCTCCTTCAAAAGCCAATTTAATTTCCACTCATGCTCGGGGGTCGAGTTGTTAATCTGCTTTAATTCTCTTGCAAAGCCAGCTAAATCAACCCATTTTTGAGCCACATTGCTTGCTTGGGTCATAGTTTCTTTCATGACATTGTCTCTTTTCTCTATCTTGAGTGCCGATTCTCGGAGCTGTAGACACTGCTGTTGAATCTTCCTTGTAAGAAAGTCATTGTGGTTATGAAGCTCTTGTATAAGATCACTGCAATCATCCACCATCTTCATCAACTTCTCGTTCTTGGCTCTAACGGCTTCAAGCTCAGCGTCATTCTCCCGCTTGTGGCGTTGATATGAAATTTCCATATTGGCAATAGACTTATTCAACATCTGATTCTCGGTCTGATATCTTCCCAAATTATCAACAACTATATTGCGTCTTTTTTCTGCAATTTGTAAATCATGAGAAAACTTCTCAACTTGACCTTCGTGCATCTTGCAATTCTTTCCCAACTGTTCAACATCATTTTTAAGTTTAGTGACCCCTATTATCCACTCCTCTGGGACATTTCCTATACCAACAAATTTAAAAGTTTGACTGATCCTTCGAAAATCATCTCGCATGGCTTCCATCTCTCTGCTCAATTTATTATTTTCACTTCTTAAATGACGAATCAGAGCTTCGTATTTTGGCAAACAATTTTCTTCATAGATGTCCTCACTAATACTCTTACCCTTGGTCAATTTTGGTTCAAACTCAACAGGATAATTTGTTTTCAAACTGGGTTGTCTTTTCAATTCAAATTCCAATACTCCATGATCTAGAAGAAGTTGGACTCGACGTTTGAAGGTGGAACAATTCTCAATAGAATGTCCTTGAATCCCAGCATGATATTCACAACGAACGTGGACGTCATACCAACTTGGATATGGAGGTTGCAAAGGTTTCACATAATGCGGTGCCACTTCTCGGGCTTCTAACAGTTCATCATACAATTCCTTATATGATATTGGGATGGAATCACAACGAGATCCACCTCTCAACTTGGGTTGAATTGGAGTTTCCAGTTTTATTTCCCCTGATGTTGGGAATAGACTATCAAACACCAACGAGTTTGGACTGCATGTCTTCTTTTCATCCTTCTGAACTTCTATAGTTGCCACTATTTCCTTGGCATTTCCAAACAACTTGTTGATACGAACAATGATTGTGCGTGATTTCTCATACTGACTAGAATCAACAGGTTCTAAAGTAGTCCCTTGCGTATCTGACACCTCGAGATTGTTTTCATTGAGTTCTTTCTTTTCTTTTGTAGAAATCTCTCTTCCTTTGGACAAAACATCTATTCTATTCATCATCTTGGACATTTGCTCTTTTATATCTCTTATCTCATTATGCTCTTCGTCAGACATATGATCTTTATGCGCGTAACTCTCCACTATTTTTGAAGCTTTCTCATGATGCCATTTCTTGTCTGTGTTATAGTCTGTTTGATCACGAAATCCCTTGTCCGTCATGAAAACCTTTTACTATGATGACCACTCACAAATCAACACCTCTTGAATATGTCATGATCATGCAATGCGGACAAAGAGAAAAAACATAGAAACAAGTTAGTACAAATGAGATAACGAAATGACAAAAAGCAACAATAGCAAAATAAATAAATTAATGCTAATAAGAATGCAAATGCAAATGTACAAGGTTTTAATTCCAAAAGTTACCACCATAGAACAACCTTCATTTAGACAACAAGAATTCAGTACACCATGTAGTCAAAATATAAATGTGATTCTTCATTTCTTTATTCCCTTGAACCGTACTCTTCATGGAATCTAATATTGCGCCCAAAGTTGTCGGCGTACTTTATCACCTTTAATGACACTATATGTCTTTAAATTGAATCTTGAGGTCTCCATTTTTACTTTCAATACGAAGTGATCTTCATGTCTTTGTGAAGGGTCTTATTGTCCTTGGTATAATTATATCTATCTTCTGAGAATATCTTGGCCTTCACTCTTTTAAAGGAAGTCTTCAATCAGCTTCAGATTTCTTCATTCATCGGATGTCCTTCTTCATGGATCATCTGAATATCTTTGAACCTCCTGATTTTGACTACATGGTTAAGAATTTCTTGTTTCAATATGACCAGCCTTCTTATTAGTCAATCACTTGCGAATTAACACCTTGTGATGACATGAAGATGCGAATGCAATAAAATCAAAATAAAATAGACATAGAAAAAAAGAAAAAAAAAGAAAAAATGGGTTAGTACACATAATATCAACAACAAGATAATAAATATCATAATCATTAAATAAAACCTACCCTTACATGTTGCCTACCCAATCATGTTTTAGTAGATCCTACTCAACATGATATCTACCCCCATGCTTTGTTTGAACATTAAAACCCTAACCGCATAATATCTAATTCACATGCTTGCTTGACAAATAAACCTAACCGCATGATTTCTAGTTCGCATGCATTTATTCGAAAAGTGAAAATAAATGACTCAAAAAGCTTTTCCTTGTGTACCCTTCTCACGGGACTCTTAAGGTTCGGGTTAGGCTCGACCTAAGTTCGGGCTCTATGTTCACTATATGTTGTGTTCGGTTCTAAAGTAATAGGTTCTCGAATTGTCCTTGTCGATGCCCCCTTGGGCTGACGAACCCTCAATCCTGGCCCATCACAGGCTTTAGGGGATCGAGTTCAATTTCGAGGGAACACACCTCCTTATGTCCATGCGGAGGTGAATACCATCATGAGGACCATAAGGCGTGAGCTCCAGGAGCGATCCACTATCCCATGCGGAGGTGAAAACCACACGAGGGCATAGTCTCTCACTCCTACTTAAATAGGACGGAGCGAGGTTTTAGCTCATGTTATGATAATGCAACTGTGCAGTGTGTGAGGAAAAATGGAAAAAATAATCAATAAAAACACTCAAAATCAATTCCCAAAACACACAATTATTCTGAAATCATTAGCAAAAAGATCAGTACAACTATTTAATTGTCAATCGAATTAAATTAAAGAAATCAAAATACAAACAAAACTTATTAAAAACAAAGCAAGGGATCAAAAATCAAATTAAAACGAATTTGTAATTTTCAATTGTAAAGACAATTAATTAATTAACTATCGGCTTGACTCTCTAAAAAAAACGTCATCAGCGGAGTCGCCAAGCTGTCGAAAACGATTTTTTTCCTTATAGGTGAGAAAGTGAGATTTTGAAAACCACATTAATTCTTAATTATCTCTTTTTAATTTAAAAAAACAAAATGTGATTTACAAGACCTCTCGTTTCGAAAAATTTTGGATTTCCTTTACGATCGAAAAATATAGTTCGAAGAGTCGCCACCAATCCTTGATTAGGGTGTGATTGGGCACCCAAAAAATGTTGTCATTTTAAATAAAAATTAATTAAAACAACAAATTGTGGTCTGCGTTACCAAAAAAATGAAGTCGGGAGTCGGTTACGTGTGGAGAAGGATTAGCACCCCCACAACGCCCTAAATCGGTACCTAATCGATTAATTAACGTCTTTGCAATGAACTTTACAAATTCTAATTTAATTTAATTTTTGATCCTGTAAAACAACAAAAAAGTGAATTTTACAATATTCAAAAATACTCAAAATAATTAAATTAAAATTACCAAGTCGTTTTAGAAAGATAAAGAATGTTCGATTATTTACAAATATCGAGATCAGATCTTAAAGATATAACAACCTTTTCTCGATATATTTAAATAAACGAACATTTCTTTTTCTCTCGTTCCCAAATTTTAGGCGACGAATCAATTTTTTGTTTCACTTTCGGGATACACTTTTAATTTAAAATCATTAAAAACAGACTTCAAATCAGTTATGACAGCCCATTTAAAATAATTTTAAATTAAAAATATATTACCCTTAATCCAATTATGAATATGTCGAGTTATG